AAAAAAAAGGGAAAGGGTAAAAAAATATATTCCCAAGAGTTATGGGTGTTCAATGTAGTGATTTGGTTATCTCTTCAAAAGCAGTTGCTGAACAGTCACAACAGTGCCCAGTGAAATATGTTACCAAACTCAGATGGTTTGGATTCCTAATGGCTTTCTAGGTGGGTTTGGAGAGATGACAATGTATTTTAAAAAACCCTCTGAAGAACAAATTCTGGCTCTGTGAGAGACACAGCTGCCACTTGTGTTGTTCTGCAGAATTGGTGCTTGTGGCTCTTATTGCAAAACACCTCCTACTGCAACACTTCTGGGTTTCTTCTATCCCTACTGTTATTTCTATGTTTTATTTCTAACAATCTTACTGCAAATGTCTATTAAAAGTCTGTAGAACAGTCTCTCTCCATTATCCATAAAGGAAGAACAGTGAAAATAGTTTGTACTTCGATATTTCCTTTTAGGATATCTGAAATTTGGTGAGATTGCTCCTGCCAGTTTTCTCTAGAAAATTTGATTTGGTATATGAAGGTTCTTTGAATCTGAGAAACTTTGGGATGCCTGGCCTGTGCCAAGGATCTTTGGTCACACACACCACTGCCAGTCATATTGTGGTTCTCAAAAAAGAAAGGGGACTCTGCCCTTGTACCCCAGTACCTTTAATTAGCTGACAGGTCCAAAGATGGAGCCAGAATTGTTCATGCAGGTGTTAATCTCATAATTTACTCAAGACAACTGCATAATCAATAAAATATTGAGCTTGATTAAATGCATTTTGTGTACATTTTGAAGCACTTTAATTAGGGGTAACATCTAATATTAAAGGAAATATTATTATCTATCTTTAGTGAAAGACAGATAATATTTCCTTTACTATTTCCCTAATATTTCCTTTTTTATTTTCAAAAGAAAACTACCAGGAGCAGAGTTTGAAGTTCTCCTTTTTGCTCCTAATTGCCTCATCATCTGTGCTAGATACAAACTCCTAAAGTGGAGATAAGATCCTCCTTCTTCTCTGGAAGCTGAACTTGGTAAAATCACTCAAACATCGTGATTTTAAAAGGGTGAAAGACATTTCTCCTCCAGACACTTTGCAGCTTCCTTTGAGGACATTTCCCTTCGGAGTATATCCCACCTGCTTCAGACACAGCAGCTCCTCAGCACTGGATTATTGCACAAAATGCTGACCCCACCATAATAATTGAAAGTGTTTGATGGTCTCTTGTTCAGAAGAACAGAAGATGCAGATGGGGATGGAAAGATTGTCCACCCTAAGAGCCACAACCCAAAAATCGTTCTGAGTTCTGCCAAAGGTGCTCCATCCCTTCTCTGCTTCTCCCTTCCCCTTGTCCAGACAGAGGTTTTCTGATGGCCTGGATGGGACTGTGACCATGTGAAATTGATATTAAACAGGGCCAAGAATCCCCAGTGTTAAAGCCAAGCCCTTGAGAGTTCTTGCACATAAGATCTTACAGACAATAAAAATTAACGATGCACCTTTGTTTCCTTGAGGAATTGTGTTGGGTAAGAGTAACAGTTGGCAAGTTAACCACCAACACTTGGCAAGAGGTGAAGCAACTGCAACTTTTGCAATTTTATTCCTGCCTATTTTTCGGTTTTGTGGCCAGATGTTGGCAGTCACAGCAGAAATCCAATTACCATTTTTTCCAATTGCAGAAACAGTTCACATACGAAATTATCTAGAGAATAAAAAGCTGTGTCAGAGTATGCTTGTAAGGGAAATGGTTTGTAGTCATGTTTTCACATGCATATAGGTAATTTCTGTACACTCCTATGCACCTGTTTACTTGGGCAGGGCTCTGAGCTAGGTCTGGGCTGATCTGATCTAGTTGAAGAAGTCTCTGCTCATTGCAGAGATCTTGGACTTATTCACCTTTCAAAAGTCCCTTCAAATTCAGACTATTCTATGTTTCTACTTAAGAACAAAATATAAAAGTAATGAAAAAATTACATGACTAGGAGGTAAATTGCCAGTCAGCAATGGAAATATTTCAGTTTAATTTTGGTATTACCTTTAGACACTACAGCACAGTAGTGTCTGTAAGACATGGTGTCATTTGCAGAGGTCTTGGTCAATTAGAAACACCAATCATTCAAATTAGCAAATGTATCATTACCCATTATGATGTAATTCATATAGCACATTAAAATACTGTATGAACAATATTTTTTTGTTGACTGAAGGGAAGTTTAAAGTAAAATATGATCTGAGAAAGCATTTCATATCTTAGAATAATAGAAACATAGCATGGTTTAGATTCTAAGTGACCTTAAAGACCATTTCATTCCAACCTCCCCAGGGTAGACAGGGACACCTTCCACTATCCCAGGCTGCTCCAAGCTCCATCCAACCTGGTTTTGAACACTTCCAGGGATGGGGAAGGCACAGCTTCTCTGGGCAACCTGTGCCAGGGCATCTCCACCCTCACAGGGAAGAATTTCTTCTTAACATCTAATGCAAGCCAGGTTTTGTCAGTTTAAAACCATTTCCCCTTGTCTTGTCACTATCTGCCCATATAAAAAATCCCTCTCCCTCCTTTTCATAATACCCCTTTAGATACTAAGATGGAGTCTAAGGTCTCTCTGGAGCCTTCTCTTTTCCAGGCTGAACACCCCCAGCTCTCTCCATCTCTTCACAGCAGAGGTGCTCCATCCATGCAGAAGTTGGGCACTACTTCCCATGGCAGAAGAAGCAGAGGCAGCTGGCAGACTGAGAGCAGATAACCAAAAATTAAATACTCATCTAAGGCATAATCTGGTTTTGGAATGATCAACTGACGGCCCTGTGGAAGGCAGAAGAATCAAAAATCAACCAGAGTCCTGGGGAAAAAAGCTCAAGCAGGAGCTTTGGGGTCTGAGGGCCCAAAGACATCCTCTGGCACTGGATTTGCCTAAATTTACATATTTCCCATCAACTGGAAGGGTGTCTGTCCAGGGACATGACCATGATGTATTCACTTTATTTGGGTACATCTTGTTTCACTCCGGTATCTTCAGCGGCCACTGGCCAGGAAGCCAATGGACATTTGTTTTAGATCCACATATCCATTCTGTGCTCTTATATTCTGTATTTATGGAACAGAAAATTAACTGGGATTGCAGGGAACACACAGATTCTTTGTCTTGTAAGGTTTGAAGTTGCTCCTAGGCAGGGACAGTTCAACCTATGTCCCAAGATGTTTGACACATACCATGGTGGGTTAACGTATCTTACACAAACTGGAGTGTCACAAGAGGTATTGCATGAAAAACATGGGATTTTCCAGGAAAAAAGCTCAAACCCTATTTTATCATTGAGAAATGAAAAGCAGCTGGTTTCTGGTTGGATTAGAAGCCACCAGAAAAAAAAAAGAGCAATTTTTGGATTGGCTCAATGAAAGGCTGAGAAGAGAAAGCACTTGTCAGTCTCTTTTTGGACTCACCTTATAAAAGAGCATCCCAGTCCCAGAGCCGAAGTCTTCAGGAGGGAAGAGACCAAGAGCAAGTCTTGTTTGGCTTCAGGGCTCACCTGATACCTGGTAAGGTCTCAGTTCTTTTCTTTCAATGTCAGCTTTTGTTTTTTCCTCAAAAATCCAACTCCCAAACCTCTGCGTTATTAACTTTAATTTGTATGTAACTAAAATGGTAAACTAAGATTTCAGAAAATTCAACATGTTGAATAAGTGATTCAAATATATGCTAATACCTAGAATGCTTTAATAAAATTTTCTGCCTCCTAAGTCCTAGGAAAAATAAATGTTTGATTGGTTCAGGTTGTTTTTGGGAGGTCTATGGTCCAGTGAAATTGGTGACCTCTCAGTGGAAATCTACATGTTTATATCTATATATTTCCATTAAATATAGAGCCTTTGAATATAAACATATTATAAATAGTCATACAATATTTCTGTAATGCATAAGAGATATAAAATTATACATTGTTCATATATTTATATATTTTAATGATGTATATAATACATATTTTATTTATTGTAATTTTTATTTATGTCTCTACGTTAAACCCTTATTTCAATTTCAGAACTGTTCACTTTGTCTCCTTATTTCTCCTGATATTTTCAAATGTATAGAAGCTTGTGTAAGCTTCTAATACTAATTTTGAAACAGTTTTGGTTCACCCTCTATCAGTTCTGTTCTCAGCAACAGGACATTTCAGCACAATCTCATTTCCATTCCTTGCTTGAGAGACCATAATTTGTGACAGATCAGAACCTTCCAAATTCCTAATAGTTCTTAATATGAGATATTAACTGCCACTTCTTTGTCCATAAGCACCCTTCTAGACTATCTTATCCTATAAAGTTAATCCTAATAAAAGCTTAAACTCTTCCAATGAAGGTATCATATGTTTACTTTTAAAATTTTCTTTTCAAATGGGAATTGATTTGATTGCACATTTCCTTTCTAGAACTGCTGCCTGTAGACCAAGACTGGAGATGCTGAGCAAATTGACCTCTTGATAAATTTAATTTACAAAATGAACTTTTTTTTCCCCTGAAGTTTGTAATTTTTACAGTATTAGCACCTAATTTTGCTTTATGTTGTTTATTTACTAGATAAAATCATTTAGCTAAAAATAAAGTTATGGAAGTATTTAAGACCTGGTTGGATGGGACTTTGAACAGCCTGGTCTAGTGGAAGGTGTTGCAGCCCTGGGGGTTGGAACAAGATGAGTTTCAAGGTTCTTTCCAATCCAAACCATTCTGGGATTCCATGATTCTGTTCTGGCTAAGGAATATTTGCAAAATGGAAAAAAAGTCTGAGCAACAAAACTATTAAAGTAACTTAATGATCCCATGTCCTGAAAACATTTTGCCCCACACAATAGTCAGGGTTTCACTGATTATTTTTGAAAGCTTGAAGAAAAAATTAATATAAATGTAATTGTTATTAACATGGTGTGTAGCTCAGAAGACTGCAGATCCCAGGGACTGTCTCTTACATCTTCCTTGGTCCTTTTCCTAACAGTGCACAGCACATCCTCAGCCATGAAGACCCTTTGCCTGCTCTTTTCTCTCCTCTTCTTGGCACTCCAGGTCTCTCCAGGTAAGATGGGAAAGAGATGCTGGAAAAGGATTTTTGTGCACCTGAAGAAAAATCCCCAGCACGTTTTAACTACTTCTGTTCCAAATTGCTAGAAGCCAGTCAGGAATTAATCAATCAGCCCAGTGCTTGTGCTAGACCTTCTTTGTAACCTCACTGCCCACACAACCTTTCAAAACATCCAAGGTTGTGACAAAGACAGCTCAAGGAATTTGAAAACAAAAATAAACCAGCCAAGGTTGTGACAAAGACAGCTCAGGGAATGAGAAACCCTTCCACTGCAATTCCCTGCCCTGAGGAGCAAGGGGGAAGGAAACATTTTATTCTGGTTGCAGGTTTGTCTTCACCCCGGAGGGAAATGCTTTTCTGCAGAGGAGGGACCTGTCACTTTGGAGGATGTCCCTTCCACCTGGTTAAAGTTGGAAGTTGCTTTGGGTTCCGCTCCTGCTGCAAACCGTGAGTTTGGTGTTCGCCGAGGCTCATCTGCAGGATGAGCAGAGAAATAGTAAATAGTTTGCCTGTCTCCTAAACCCCAAGGTGTTCCTGAATATTTAAATTAGGAATAAGGGGAAAAAAAAATACTATGCCATGAGGACAGTCAAGTGTTCTGTGTTGACTCAAGTGTTACATGTTGCCCAAGAAGCATTTGGAGAATGCTCTCAGGCACAGGGTGAGGTTTCTGTTGTAAAATTTGTTGCAAAATTAAATTATCATATGAGAAACAGCCTTCTATTTTTACTCAGGAATGAATGAGCTCACCCCAAAATCTAGGGATATAAATTTAATTCCCTGCTTTTCCTAAACATTAGGAAAACAGTCTCTTTACTCACAGGTATGATTGTATAGAGCATGTCCCAACATGACTACAAATGACATGAACTATTTTGGGAAGAATTTGTGTCCAGGAGGAAAAAAAGCATGGGCTGAGAGTGAGTGGGGAGGGAATATAAGCAGAAAGAAAATCTGATTTTTTTTTCTTTCTGCAGGCCATGGAACGTTAGAGATGTTGATGAGCCGTTCATTGAAGAGTAATGAAAATTTCTTCTAAGCCTACAAATTTGCTTGGAATCTCCTTACTCCTAAACCCACTGGATCCTGCTGCAAAGCCTCACACTCCTTTCACATGCAAAAGGCTTTAAAATATAGAGTAAATCCAAATGTGTTCTGCATTACTTTCCCTCCTTCTAAATAAATTGTTGGTTAGCATTGGTCATTGAAACTTGTGTCATGATTCTTCCTGGGGTTTGACATACAAACCCCAGAGGGCAACAATTTATGGTGCAAACTGATCCTTACTTTGAGTTTTTCTGAGCCATACATCTCTCCAGGTCTACACAGCCCTTAACCTACAGTGCTAAGAGAAAGGCTGGCTAAAAGAACTCAGCTTCCCTTTGTCAGAATGTGTTCAGATGTCAAAATCCCTTATTTCTTACTGCGTAGAAACCTTTTCTTGGGAGAACAGGAATGGTTAAAACCCCTCATTCCCCATCTGGAGGTCCTGGGCCCTGTGTAACCCTCCTTGCCAGGAGCTGGGAGCTGTGCTGCTCCACACCCCATCCTGCCACAGGGCACTGAGGGACTGCCTGGCCCTCATGAGCACTTGGGATGATCCCATGGGGACACTTCAAGGACACCTTTGTGGACCTTAGAGGAAAATAGATTTCCCAGGAGTGCTGTCCAGGTGACATCACAAAGGGACCCTCTGGATCAGATGGGTAATCTGGGTAGCCCTGCAGGGTGGGAGCTGGGGGTCTTCTCCTCTCCACCCAGCTGGACACAACTGGATGTTAGAATGGCTTTCCTCTGCTGAGGCTGACCTCACCCTCTGTGGAAAATGCGTCCATGATCATGATCCATGAACATGTGTGTGCATAAGGAGTGTCTCTGGTTCTACTGGTAAAGATTTCTCTATCCAAGGATGCCGCCCTGGCCAATTCCAAATTTCCAGCTGGGTATGAAGCACTTGACAGAGACGCCAGGTTGCTGCTTATTGGCATTTGCAACCATCCTGTTTCACTGGGGAATTTCATCCACCTCCCACTTGCTACAAAGATGCCTCTTATCCTGCAACTGTTTTTCTCCAAAACACGTGGCATCCTTAATATTTCATTATTATTCAATATTCACCCTTAATATTTCAAATATTTCATATTTGTCTGAGGGTGATGGTTTTGGCAGCAAAACTCTGCCCAGTGATGGAGTTACAGAGCAGAAGGCTCAAAAGGGTTTTTCATTTTCTGCCTTACTCAAAAAGCATACTCATACATAGCAAAACATAAACCTTAGAGATCAAGTTATCTGGGGGTGTCCAGCCTGGAGAAGAGAAGGGGTTGGGGAGACCTTGAATCCCCACCCAGTGCCTCAAGGAGATGAAAAAGAGTAAGAGAAGGACTTTGGGCCAGGGTCAGGAGCGACACCAAGAGGGAGAAACATTCAAACTGAGAGAGGACAGGGTTACAGTGGATATTAGGAAGAAATTCTTGGCTCTAAGGATGGTGAGGCCCTGGCACAGGTTGTCCAGAGAAGCTGTGGCTACTCTATCATTGGAAGTGTTCAAGGCCATGTAAGACAAGGCTTGGAGAAAACTGAGATAGTGAAGGTGTCCCGGCCCGTGGTGGAGGTTGGCATGAGATGATCTTCCAGGTCTTTTCCAACCCAAAGCATTGCAGAGGTGATTCTGTGAAATCCTGTGCCTGCACCCCCCAGTTCCTGTGCCCATCCCAAGGATTTCCCTGCTGGCCCCACAGCCCGGTGCCGCTGTGCCGCGGGTGTCACAAGAGGTGTTGCATGGGGACAACGGTGCCATTGATTGCAACAGCCCCAGGAGGCCCCTCAGCCTCTGGCCCTGCAGCAGGGAGGGAGCAGGGCCAGCCCCAGCACCCCCACAGCCACGGGGCACTCCCGGCTTGGCCCAGGCCACTTGTGCCAGCCCCACCCCCTGGAAATGGGAAAACCCAGCCTGCTTGGGGCACAGGGACACTCCCTGAGCTGGACTCTTCACACAAGAGATTCCAGCTTGGTTTGTTACAGACAGACCTTGGTGTGCTCTGAACCAACACCTTTCTCAGGTACGTCACTGGGCAGTCACTGCCAGCCCACCAAGACCCTTCCCTGCCCTCTTGCTCCTCCCTGGGTCAGTGCTGCACAGGGATGGGGAGTGGGCTGGCTGGGAATCCTGGGAATGCTCTGGAGTTGAGGATGGATACTTGCCAGCTGAGCTGGGAAGACTTTCCTGACTGCAGGGGATTGTGCAGGGTGTTTGTGCAGCAAGCTTTGGGCTGGCTTGGACAATGATCAGCATTGGATAAACCTCATTTAGCTTGGCCTCTCCAGGCACAGAGATTCCCCTAAATCCTTGACCCTGCTTTGGTTCTTGGTGTGTTCCCTCTGCAGCCCTGAGAAGAGCCAGGACAGGCATCAGCCATGCGGATCCTCTACCTGCTCTTCCCCTTCTTCCTCCTGCTGGTGCACAGTGCTGCAGGTGAGAGGCACAGAGGGGAGGGGGCTGAGGAGGTGAGGTGGGAACCCCCACCTGAGGGGTTTTCCAGGTCCTGGTAAGTGACCACAATTCTCAGGTATTTCTAACATTTGTGAGGAACTTGATATGAGGAAGGTCTGGGCAGCTGAGGATCCAGCACAGCAACTCCTGTACATCCTGCTGATCATTCCCTCTGTATTTCCCCACACGCAGATGTTACTGTAGAAAAATGAGCTCTTGACTGGAGAGTTTAAAACGTTGGTTTTGGTGTTCAATTCCCATACAAGACTGGGACTTAGAGCCAGCAGCAGCTGCACTTGAACCAGACACATTTTTGACTTTTATGCAACATTCACTGTCCCCTCTTTCCTTTTTTGTGCAGGATCCTCTTTGGGACCAAAAAATGAGAAACAATGTAAGAAAGAAAAGGGATTCTGCTCACTTCTGAGCTGCTCTTTCCCCTATGGCATCGTGGGAAAATGTTCCACGTTTTACTTTTGCTGCAAAAAGTAAGTTTTCAAACTACAAAAGCTGCTATCAAGGCAGATGTTGTTTAAGGCACCCCGAGTAGCTAAAGACTCAGCACTCTTGAAGATTCAAGGCAGAGCAGAGGGGAGGGAAGGGAAAGTGCTTGGAGCTGACCTGAGAGAAGCTGCAGGAGCCCCACATCAGTCACGGCCTCCCCACTCACCAAAGACACCAAAGAGTGAAGTGTCCATTGTGCTTGGGCAGCACTGAGGACATGATCCCGGTCTGGCTGCATCTGCACAGGCCTGGAGCCAGGGCTGCCAGCACTGAGATAGCCCAGGTGCAACCTGGCTGCACTAAGGACTGCACCTCACCTGCCCTGAGCCTGACTCTGCTGCACCTCACCCTGGGCATTGCAGGGCAGGGGACACAGTGGCAGGGAAAGTTATACCAGCTGATGTGCTTGTTTACTTTCTTTATGCAGATACTGGGGTTGACAACAAGATATTCCAGAGAAGAACCTCCCCCATGCTTCTGGCTGCTGGACCCATGTGCTGATGTCCTCATGTGCTGATGTCCCCATTACTGATGTCCCCATTACTGATGTCCCCATGTGCTGATGTCCCCATGTGCTGATGTCCCCTGGCCTCGGTGGCTGTGCCATGCCCAGCTGGGCTGGCAGCAGCAGTGGCAGCTGCTCCTGCTGGGTGCTGCTGGGCTGGAGCCCTGTGGTGCCAGCCCCGGTGTCTTTGGGGCAGGGGCTGCTTTTCCCAGCTTGAATAAAGACGAGCACTTTGGCATTGCAGGCCTGGGCCGTGTCTGTGTGTCCTGCTGCTGCAGGGCTGCTGTGCCTGCTGCCCCTGGGGCTGCCACTGCCTTGGTGGCAGCAGAAGGCCCTGGGCATGGAGCTGGGGCTGAGCAGCGCCTGTGTCCCTGGGGATGCTCCTGCCTGGCCGTGCTTTGGGGACGCTGAGCCTGGCCCTGCCTGCTGGGCCAGGCTGCCTGGGCTGCCTGTGCTGGGGCTGCCCTGCAGATGCTCCCTCTGGGGGAACAGGAACCTTGTCCTGGTGTTTATAGGCCCAGATATCAATCTGTTCTCCAGACACAACTTCTATGTCAGAAATACGTGGACTGGGAACTGTGGACATAGTGGCAAAGCCTCATCCATAAAATAGCCTCAGCATTCTTACAAGGTCCCAGCTCCAGTCCCAGCTGCAAAAATTGCAGCAGGAGCCATTCCTTAAAGTGATGTGGTGTGGGGGATGTCATTGAGGACAACATAGACCTACAGAGAACGCACACGTGATTCATGAGCTTGATAGGAGTAAAATAATGACATGAACCAAAAGATTTGCATTTTCTTCATTCATCTGCATTATATCTATATGGACTACTCACTATCCCCGGCACAGTCCTGGTGTTTATAGGCCCAGATATTAATCTGTTCTCCAGACACAACTTCTATGTCAGAAATACGTGGACTGGGAACTGTGGACATAGTGGCAAAGCCTCATCCATAAAATAGCCTCAGCATTCTTACAAGGTCCCAGCTCCAGTCCCAGCTGCAAAAATTGCAGCAGGAACCATTCCTTAAAGTGATGTGGTGTGGGGGATGTCATTGAGGACAACATAGACCTACAGAGAACGCACACGTGATTCATGAGCTTGATAGGAGTAAAATAATGACATGAACCAAAAGATTTGCATTTTCTTCATTCATCTGCATTATATCTATATGGACTACTCACTATCCCCGGCACAGTTTCACTGTAGCATCACCTAAATCCTCCATCTTTCTATACTTTTGATGATAGAAATGATTATTCTTCCTGCTGCTCCTTGCAGCATCAGGACGGGAAGAGTACAGGAACCAGGCTGGAGTCACCAGTAGCCCAAAAGTTCCTTTTCCCGTTTCCCCCCTGCACCAGAGAAAAGGAGGCTTTGGTTTCCTCTTCTGACACCTCTGACAAGGATTCCCAACCCAGAGCCTTCTGTCATCCTGCCTTGTGTAAGGACCCTGTGGTGCTGTGGTTTGCTGGACACATGCAGGGACACAGGGACACATGCAGGGACACACACACCAACCCCGCTCACTGGAAACCAGCACCCATCTGCTACTCTGGCATAGAATGGAACCTTTTCTGAATACCTTCAAGAAACCTCCCAGTAAAGCCACCATCAGTGATGTGTGCAGGTGGTGCCTCTGCTTCTGCT